AAGTAAGAAATTTCATTACAGGGGTGTCGATGAGATTGAGCAAGTGCTGTTTCCCATGAGCCATGTGTATCATACTGAGCTTTGTCAGTAAATCATTTTGAAAAACAGATTGTGCCGCAAACCTTGCTGTCTGTGCCTTGACTTCACGAAGTTAATCATCTTCAACCGAAGCAAATCCATAACTATAGATGGCCCACCAGTAATACCCCGCTCGCGTTCCACCTTTAGCTTGTCTAGGACCTGCTGGTTGAGTCCCGTCGACTTCGTTTCAATAGTGCCCGTGAGCTGAGTGATGTTAACCAAGAGAACAGAGGTTTATGCACGAAGGAACAGACCTCTAACAATCTACATGTAATTGTTATATCTTGTTAGCGCAGAAACTTGACTACTTTGCGTAGAAGCCCACCTATCTGCCAGGGTTGATTTACCATGGTCTGTGAGCAAAATTCAGAAGAGGCGTTGCAGATCAAATATTTAAACTACCAATGTGCGCGATAATAGAAAAGTTTCTGGCGCGGTTTAACACGTATAAGCTTTAATTCTGAACGCATACTGCCGCATCATCTTCGTACCTAATGACTTCGCAAGGAAACTCTTCCATCCTCAGGGACTTGGGCGTAGCAGCCAGACATACTGCAGTAGAACTCAATAGCCTTGAAATTGACCAACGGACAGGTTGACGGCGCAGTAACACCTTGAGACATGCATGCCGCCAGCCAGGGAGCATTTCCCGAGTTGCAAGAAGCACGAATTTCGAAAGCGTCAAAACTGCTGGTCATGCTGACTAAGCATATATCAGACCTCTTCCCCACTATGTCGCTGCAGGAGGCCTCAGATGCTCGAAAAGCGCGTTTGATCGCCCTAAGAAACCGCAAGGAGGGTATATCAACTGTACCAAATGGGTGCGTGATAATAACATTCCAATAATGCAAAATATTAACCGACCACAGAGATTCTGTGCTTCTCAGCAGGAATTATGACCCTGAAACAAGGACGTTGAAGAAGCACTCAAAAAACGACGTTCTGACTACAGATACTGTCGAGAAAGATATTGAAGGAGTAGCTGAAAAGATACTTGCTGAAGATGAACGGCAGCGCGCCCAAGAACTTGTATGCCAATTCATATTATAGCGAACTGCTGCGTTTACAGCTGCTCATTCATATGCTCTCCAGGACGTATTCAACATAGCCCCCAAACGGCCAAACTGGGATTTGAAGCGCGAAATGGAAAAGAAAGTAGCAAAGCTGGAGCGAAAGACTCAAGAAGCTGTCCATACTCTTATCCGTCAGCTTGATATTCCACCTTGCCTTTATTTTCAATTGCTCACACTGTATCAATAGGGCAGAGACTTGCTTCTCAAAAAGGGCAGTCGGACGACATTCTAGGGGCAATGAATGCACAAGAGAAAGCATTGGACGTCGAAGACCAGCCTTCAGACGAGGATGAATGAAACAGGTTCTTTCTCTATCCTGTTCATCGTGCCACCTCATGGTCATGGATCTCAGTTTTTCCTCTGTATGTGAGCTGAATATCACCCTAGTACCGCGACTTCCATGCGATCGCAGTTTCGTGCCATAATTGGCACGAACACGTCCAAGCGTGGCTACCATCCTTTCGTTGTTCACGCCCCAATAACCAGGAGTTCCGCCATTTAATTGAAATAACCGAAAATGGCGGGCATGTTCCTTGTATCATACATTTTTGCAAATCGAAGGGCGGCTCTATTGATTATCGGTGTCTTCACCAAACACGTGAGGCCGCAGAGCAGTTTGCACTTGGGACAAGAAGACAACTGTGAACTTGAAGAAAATCCTCGATCGTCTGGAAGACTGCCTTTCTCTCTACTTTAACTGTCTCTGAGGTCAATCCAGGCTGGCCAGTTCCGTCGTTTACCCACGTCGGTCACATGTTACCAGCGTGTTGAGTTTTCTCTATTGTCGTACCGACAAGATCGTGGTGTTCGGTCCTCTCTACAGATTGTATATTTCAAAGATGTGGAATTGATCATCGTCTGAGACTTAGGTCATTGCTTCAGCTATAAGCAGTCTGGAGGACAATGCTAACGGTATGATATGATTTATTTGGTGCTGGGCTCGGGGTAGCATTCTGCGTCTGGATCATCGTCTCGTCTCATCTTCTTCCATCGTGTCTTGATTCCTGATCCGCCGCCTGAACGTTCTGCATCTGTCTAGTTAGTGAGCTTGTAGCACTCCAATATGCGCAGTGTTTCCATTGCCATATATATTCGATTAGCATGAACTAGATACATATCCCTCTAACACTCTACGTAGTCATACTTTAGCGATACTTAGTGAGTGACTCTTCTCAGCGGCGAAATTATAGGACAGGGGATAATGATAGAGGCTCTACTACACGCGCAAGAAAGCAACTGGATGTCAGCTGACATTCCATGTGTTGTGCAATCCAATTGTGTCATCCGCACGGTTGATTGGACCGCTAGACGCCACCATGGTCTCTCGATCGTGGAATCCGTTGACCACACTGCCCTCACCTTTGCCTTCCCATGAGTTTGCGGCCGACTTCTTTTTGACATTATCTGCACGTAACAATTCCAGTTGATGCAAATACTCCTCAGTGACACCACCAGTAACATATTCCCCTGTGAATACGGAGCAATCGAAAGTTGGAATGGACGGGTTGAATTGTCGCACAGACGCGACGAGGTTAGGAAGAGTCTGGAACACGACAAGGTCTGCACCGATGGCCTCAGCTATCTCCTGAGTGGTGCGCCCGTATGCAACAAGTTCCGTCCTTGAAGGCATATCAATACCATAGACATTAGAGTACCTAGCAAATATTCGTCAGTAATGTGATGGTGGTTAGTAGAAAGGAACAACCTTATGGGTGGAGCACAGCTCGCGACGATGACCTTTTTTGCGCCAACATCCTTCGCCATCTGAATAATTTCTTTTGAGGTGGTGCCACGAACAATGGAATCTGAAGCCGGGTGTCAAGGTAAGACAACAAGATCGTTCAGTCGTTGCACAACTTACCGTCAACGAGGAGAACATTCTTCCCAGAAAACTCCAGGGCCATGGCGTTCAGTTTCCGCCTGACATTTTTTCGTCTTAGAAAAATGCCATCAATACTGTGAATTCATGGGAAAAAAACATATATCTGACCTCATTTGCTGACCTGGCATAATGAATGTCCTACCAACATAGCGATTCTTGATAAAGCCTTCTCGGTAGGGCAAATTGAGCTTCTGAGCAAGATTCAAAGCTGCAACACGAGATGTGTCAGGAACCTGAAAACGCGTCAGAAAAAAATGGGGAACGAGGGGAACTACTGACGGGAATGACGACATCCACTGTGATGCCGCGTTCCTTCAAAACCTTGTCAACTTCAACCGCAAGCGCATCGCCCATGGCCATTCGACTACGGTAGACACTAATGCCGTCAAGCACTGAATCGGGGCGAGCGAAGTAGACAAATTCGAATATATCGGGTGCAAAGATCGCATGCTCTGCTACACGTTTCCTTGAGACCCCTGACCGAGTGATGATCACTGCTTCGCCTAATCAGAAACCAACGTCAGTGACTGCGGCTAACGGCAGGAATAAGAACTGACCAGGTTTCACATCTTCCCATTCGCTAAAGCCCAGAGCATCAGCAACAATGCTCTCGCTTGCAAAAAGGTAGTCTTTCCCAGAGTTGCTACGTCTGGAAGCCACCCCGAGGGGTCGTATGCCATTCGGATCTCTGAATGCAATGATCCCAAAGCCAGCAAGCATTGCAACACATGCATATGCTCCTGTGCACTGCTTCATTAGGCCTCCAATAGCATTGAAGATGTCGTCTTCGTTTATGCGAAATTTGCCAGTCTGCTGGAGATTGTTGGCAAAAAGGTTGAGTAGGAGTTCGGAATCGGACGAAGTATTTATGTGTCTATGTGCGGTGGCGTCCATATATTGTAGGAGTGAAGGACCATCTATGAGGTTCCCATTCTAGTCACCTTTCAGTCTTGACTCTTGAGTAACCAGTCTCGAGAACAAACTTACATGGGCAAATACAATACCATAGGGCGAGTTAACGTAGAACGGTTGAGCTTCAGCGTGGTTCGAGCTTCCAGCAGTTGGATAACGAACTGCAATGTGCTAGATCAGATAATCGTTGACAAGACTAGTTTGCTCCCGAGGGCTTACCATGGCCAACACCCATCCCTCCGATGAGTTTGGAAATGGCCTTCTCGTCAAAGACATCGCGAACCATACCGTTGGCTTTGCATTGAAAGAATCGGCCTTTTGGACCACAAGTCACGATGCCACACGCATCCTGTCCCCTATGCTGGAGTAAAGAGAGACCTTCACATATGTCTGGTGCTGCGTCCACCGATGGATCATGAAGCAGCAGGCCTAAAATGCCGCACACTAAATTGGAGATCTGTCAGAGGATCTGGCACTTGGACGATCAAGAAGCCAACTCACTCGTGATGCAGGGGTGAAATGAGAGAAAATGTGAAATTAAGCTGGGGCGACGCCCGTTCGCGTGATAAACGTGCTGGTCACTACTATCAGTGGTTACAGACCTGAAGAAAAACTGGCATGGTGTTTAAACCACTTTGCCGCAACTTTGCCGTGATAATCTTTTCCTTGATAATCTGACCTCGGTCCGTATATGCACGAACCACGCACGTGGGTTAATGTTGTGGGCAGGAGTGACTCCGCCATTTCCAGACCGGTTTTCCCCGGCAGAATTCGGTGGCCGGAGTCCGGCCGAAGCGTAATTATGTAACAACCTTATAGTAATGACACACTAGTGTGATCAGAAGGCCGTGGTTAATGGAGGAAAGCCAAGTCGTCGACGTGGACACACTGATGGCCTCTTCCTAGTGACACTACCATACACCTTGTAGCGCTTTAAGAATACTATCAAGCGACACTCTGAGCGTGGGACTTATGTAAGCTTGAGCTTGTAACTTTATCAACGCTGGAAGCTTGCCATTCGATCTTCTGATACCGGCTTTCAAATTTCCGTACTAGGCTAGTCTCTGTCCTTTGGTCGTCTTACTTGAGTTAGACGATATATGTGAAAATACACCGCCTATGCAGAATAACTTTAGTTTTTAATCACAGAAAAATACGCGGTTGAACGCGATTGTATTCTTCGGTACTACGAGGTGATATAGTGGATATAGGTAGGGCATCAACAACATGCAACGTCGTTGGGGTCTTCGCAAAGTCGCGGGTAATGGTCGTGATAATAGGCAGCGTGTCGGCTGCGGAGTAGAAAGCGATGGTGTGTAATAGTCTACAGAAAGGTGCGTGCGATGATGAATGACAAATTAGGGAAGGATGAACTTCCTATGCTAGATAGAGCAAGATTCCACAGGAACCAGTCAGACAAAAGAGTGATTACAGCTTAAGCTGTTTGGGTTTCTCCCAGGTGTATGCGGGGTTACCTGCACACAGATCAAGTTCTGCACTACACATGATAACGTCAAAAACATACCGAAGTGGCCGTAAGACGCGGTCCTCAGGTAATGGGGTTTCTGGAGGTCAAGCTCGCGCACTAGAGAGCATCGATAATTTATCCTTCTCCAGACAGAAGAGACTTACCCATGACACCAGGACGGAGATCCCAGTTGTTGCGAATGACGTCAACGAGCTCCTCGTTTGTCCTCTTGCCAGTGCCGTAAGTGTCAACGTAGATAGACAAAGGCTCGGCAACACCGATAGCGTATGAGAGCTGAACAAGGCAGCGGCGAGCAAGGCCAGCAGCAACGAGAGACTTGGCTGTACGACATTTCAAATACCGTAGATTGATCAAAAACAGATGAACATACCGATCCAACGAGCAGTGTATGCCGCAGAGCGGTCAACCTTCGAGAAGTCCTTGCCTGAGAAGGCTCCTCCACCGTGTGCACCCCAACCACCGTAGGTGTCTACAATAATCTTGCGGCCAGTCAGACCGGCATCACCCTGAGGGCCACCAATAACGAAGCGGCCAGACGGTTGAATCTAATCCAACTCGTGAGCTACATGCGTCACTAGAAAGTAAAGATTCACGTACGTGGTAAACGATGCGGTCATCAAGAAGGTTGGCGGGGATGACCTGCGCGACGATCTTGCTTAAAATTTCCTTGCGGAGCTCCTCGGTGGAGATCTCCTCTGCGTGCTGGGTCGAAATAACGACCGTGTCCACACGCAGGGGGATCATCACACCACCATCGTTCTTGTACTCAACAGTGACTTGAGTCTTTGAGTCAGGGCGCAACCAGGGAAGAAGACCTGATCGGCGAGCATCAGCCATGGCACGGTTGAGCTTGTGCGCAAGCATGATGGTCAAAGGCATAAATTCCGGGGTCTCATCGGTAGCATAACCGAACATGATACCCTGGTCACCAGCACCGTGGTCTTCCAGAGAGCCGTGGTCCAGACCCTGAGCGATATCAGGAGACTGCTGCTCGATGGCAACCAGAATGTTGCAAGTCTTGTAGTCGAAACCCTTGGAAGAATCATCGTAACCAATTTGTTTGATTGTGTTACGGATGATTTTTTGGTAGTCGAGCTGAGCTTTGGTGGTGATCTCTCCAAAGACCATGATCATGCCGGTCTTCGAAGCGGTCTCACAAGCGACCTTTGAAAAAGGGTCTTGCTCAAGGCAAGCATCAAGCTGTGAAGTTGATCAGATTTTTTCCGCAATGATGGATATCAAGTGGGTACTCACAATAGCATCCGAAACCTGGTCACAAATCTTATCTGCTATGGATTAGTTTCATTGCAAAGCTTTGACCACGACGAAACTAACCGGGATGACCTTCACCTACAGACTCAGAGGTGAACAATAAATGCCCAGGTGCAAGAGCAGGACGCGCGTGACCGTTAGCAGCCATGGTAAGACAAAAGTCGTTGAAAAAAAGAACGAGGAAAGGGTTGGGAGAAAGAGGGAGAGAAGATGTGAGACCAATCGTTTGCGCAAAACAATTAAAGGTTCAATATAGCTTATATAAGCAGGGCATCACGCCATCCTTCTGCCACCTTCTGCCATCCCCTTGCCAAAAAATACCAGGTTACGTCCTCAAAAACAGGATAGATAGCAGACTCAGACGTGGCATAACCTAATTCACGTGAGTCCTAAATCTGATGGAGGGAAAAAGTTCAATTAAGCCTCACAACATGTATAGCGTGGGTCCTGATAGTAGATGATAGCCAAGCGAATTGATTACTATTACAAAAATCCTACACCAAGAGGATCTGTATTTGTCGAGGGATGTTGATCTTCCTGTTCTAAAACAAGGCTGTCATCAGACACAACCGTGAGATGGGGTACGCCATCGTGGCTCTGCCCAGATATTCGGAATCCTGACGAGTCTCCGTACTCTAGGCGACGAGGCGGATGTGCGACTGTTGGGTCAAGCGGCAATGATTTCCCATCAAAGAGATCTTGTGACAAGGAAGCCTGTCTAGGTGACCTTGACCTAGTAGTACTCCAGGGATTATCCGAAGGGAGGACATGTATAGTCTTCTGAGGTTTTACATTATCCCAAGGGTTGTGTGATGAGCCGACTGAATGTGATTGGCTGGTTATACGATAAGCAGGGCGTTCTTCATCTCCAAGGCGCTCACGAGGCTGAAATTCGGAGATTTTTCCTTGGGCATTTTCGTTATCTCCTGATGGCTTCGGTAATGCTTTGAAGTCCTTTGCGACTCCGTCATAAGCGTCCTGCATCGCTGAGAATGCTGCGGTAGCATTCGAGGATAATTTTCCCCACACTGATCTTACTCCGGTGTTGTAAAATGTATCCGCGGAATGCGCAGTCCCAGAGCGAGCCGGATGTAAAGGATTGCTCCCTGGAGATGATGGTCGAAGGGGAGGGCCAGAAGGCCGCAGTGATGCGGGAGACGGAGCCGTGATGTTATCTGCAGTCATTCTCTGCGGAATGTCTGGTAACGAAGACCATAGTCCACGAAGGCCTGAAGTCAGCGTTTCCGATGCATTCCCAGGGTTGGATGGCACAATAGAAGGATTCGAAAGGTTCGGCGTTCTGGCAGGTGACGGTGGGAGTGGTATTCCTGCGGGAACACTGATTGAATTAACAGGATCATCCTCCAGGGATTCTATTGGAGATGTAAATTCCGGACCCTCCTTCGTCTGATAAACGATTATCCTCCCATTCATCTCCTCCTCGGTTCTGCCATAAAGCTCGTGCCAAAAACGAATATCCTTGGCGTTCGGATAAATAACACCCATGTCAGCTGAAGGATCTCTACTGGAGGGATCATCCAAAGAGGGGTCGTATGCGTCATTCTTGTTTTGCTCTAACTCCGATGTCGAGTTGAAAAAGTCCCAAATGCAAGCTGCCCGCTCTGAGGGAGCAACGCCGTCTTCACCAGCTCGTCGTTCTCGTTCACAATTGTATAAGAAGTTGCCGAATTGGCACGAATAGAGGTGATATAGCAGTTGGCGAAGGAAGCGTTCATTAAATTCAAAGCGAGATGGATACTGCCGCTGCAGCTGACGAACGCATTCCAGGAATTGGTGAAAACATGGGCTCGTCTCTTTCAGGTGACTCTGGGACGTGAATCGATTCTGGACAGAAACCAAGAAGGCCTGCGCCGCATCGGCGCCACTACTCGTCCCCCCAGTTTCCGGTAACGAGGTAAAGAATTTGTCGGAGGACAGGTGCCCGCACCGGTCAAGAAATTTGTGCCCAAAGGACACCCAATCTTTCTCGATGAGTATCTGGAAGCCTCGAATGGTACGGTAGTGGGGATCCAAGCATAGCTGGGCCAAGGCAGATAACTGAGACGTTCGATCCCAGCCATCTGAGCAATGAACGAGAACATGCGACGAATTAATGTGAATGTTGCGGACAATGAGAGCTGCACCCTCCATTATATTCGATATGTGTTTGAGCCATCCAGAACGACGTAGCGCCTGTCGGTCGACTACCACAAGTTGTTGTGCTTCTCCAGGCAGGCTGCCTGTAACACTCGCAGCGACGTTGTCTGCCTCGCGTAATACATCCACCACCTTGGCAAGGGCCTCGCGCATAGTATGTATGTGGTCTATGCCCAAATACACCTTCTTGGCGTCCTTGTAGTTATCCATGTTTTCTGTGCCTGCACCTTTGGCTGTGTTAGCCACGGCATTGGCAGTGGGCCGTGCATCAACTATCAAATTTGTGCTAGTGGCACCGTAAACCGGTCCAGATGGGCGCGATTCCGAGAAATGATGAGATTGAAACACAGCTTCAACGAGCTTCTCATCTTGAAGTGAGCGGTTCTGCTTGATGCCCACCATCGGCTGGCTTGATCTTGTTATGCTGCCCTGAATGAGATAAATTAAACAGTGTACTATATCTCAGGTGCCCTAATACTAACAAAGTTCGCCCAGTGCAAGTATGTCAGCGCAGGCACCCGACATTTGCTGCGGTATTTGGAAGCGTATCGCAACGTCGAGTCGCTGATGCGAGACGGGACTACCAGCCGTGATGGGTAGGTAGGCGAGAACTTTGAATTGATCTTCAGACATTGGATGATTCGACAAGCCTGATACTCACAACGTAATCCTTGTTAATATCAGTGAAACGCCAAGCTTTCGTACGAGTTCCAACCCCCATACGGCCGAATTCTTCTCTTGGAGAGTAAAGGGACCATCCCCCCGTAGCGTCAAAGGGCGGGTTAGGGGCGTAGAAGAAAGCATACAGCTGGTTGACAGAGGCTAATAAATGTCAACAATCGATGCGACTTGAGTCGAGGGATTGGATGCTCACTGCACACGGTTAGCTCTTTGACACTTTCGAATACATCTAGAGCGTCCCGTTCCTTCTCGAAGGACAGCGAAAATGTTTCAAACATACGAGTGTGAAACGTTAACGGGCTCTGTCCATACAGGGTTTGCGGGAGCTTCAATACAAGAGATATCAGCGGGTAAGGTACCTGCAGTGCGAGTTATCAAGTGCAGCACGCCGTAAACCGGGATGTAGAACTCGCCCACATCTCCTCTTTCGCAAAATCCTCATACCGAAAAATAAGGTGATGAGCAGTAAGGTGGAGTGACCCATAATGAGCCCTGCCTGATTTGCCACATAGTACCTTTTCCACCTGCGCGCGCGCCGTTGAGCATGTCAATCGCAAGTTTCATGCACAGCGCACCTTTGAAACTCTGATTGAATCCATCTATCTGCAGCTGCTGGGAGTGGATGCCGCTCGACCTTAGCCAGCTCTGAGCTCAAGGTCAGACGGAATCAATTGAAGTATGTTTGGTCCTATTTACACATCATCGCCTTGTGATAAGTCGATGGCGCTTGGCACTTAGTCTCATTTCTAAGCTAGAGTATTGGCTATACCACAGTATATTTATTCATTCAAACACCCACAGTTCACTAACCGCATCCCTACCAGCCAAACAGTCGCCCAGATTCGCTGCATCTGCCCCTGGAAATATATCTTTCCTCAGCTCCATAGCTAACGCGGGTTCCCTTTTTATTTTACGTCTAACCTCAGTTTCAATGAGCTGCAATATTGTTACAGTAAGCGTGTGCACAAGAGTTTTGAAAAATTCTTTTACCGTTCCGTATGTGTGATCAAGGAAATCCTCCATTGAATAACCAGGCTTTGTAAAAGCCTCTGAAAAAATGCGCACTATGGTTGACACTGCAGGATCATAGTGATGAATATGGGAGTGAAGCTCCCATAACGAAGAATCAAGGGCGTTGGTAGAGTTTGGATTTGGCTCGTCGGCAATGAACGGGTCTGATATCGCGATTAGTTAGATCGTGACCAAGGAGCTGAATGCGTACCGGTGTTGGTGCTAGGACTATTGTGTATCATTACCATCAGGGCCGGATGTTGCTTGAGAATGTTGTACGTGAAAGGAACGATCATGATGATAGCTGCTGGAGGAGCATTCAATGAAAGCCTGGATAATCTCTTAACGAACGATGCCAATAAAGTTGCAGGCAGATGGCTGGACTGTCTCAGTAACAACAAGTGGAAGTTGTAGAGATGGATCTTACGAGGAACTCAAAAATAGTTCGGTTAAACGGAAAAACCGAGCACGATGCTTCAAGTGTAGAACATCCCGATGGAGGAATGCGTATAATCGGGTGAAAAAAGAAGGATAATCTCTACAGTGTGAACGATTGGTGAGACGTGAAGCGTGGCATATGAAGATTTGCACTTACAGATTATAGTCTCTCATTAGGGTGAACAAAGCGTTAAGTGCCAGCAGTCCAACGGTTTCTCCTATAGTAGAATGGCTTAACAAATTATGGTTAATACCAGGAATGTTCCCTCACCAAGATCCACGCATGCGCTTATCCAATCCATGACAAGCACAGGCCTGGTGAGATGTGGCAGGACACCACGATGCATTATATTCAATGCTCTTGTTGTTAACGCTCGATTGGAGGATGTTGAGATAGATGAGAGATGGGGCAGGAATTTTAGCCACGTTCGCGTGAATACAGCGCGATGAGCTTGAAGGGAGAAAAGAGACTGGTGGAATGTCAGAGTGTAAGCCCGGCCCTTCACACTGTTTTTTTTCTCATCTTTCGCATTGGAATCCTCATCGAAAAATTTGCGCCAGTCATCTTCGTCGTTTCCATCCACCGACTCTGCAGCGTCAGCCTCTTCAGCATCTCCCTTGGCACTTTTGTGTTTTGGGGGTTTTACGCCGAGCTCTTCCACCCACCACGAGTTAAGCTCTGACGAGTCCGTTGGAAATGTTGACAACTTTTCCATAATAGAAAGCAGATTGTCGAGCAGGTGAGGATTCTCCACAGATGAATATTTCGAGAGCACAGTTCTGAGGACAGAGTTAAGCACTGCATATAAATTTTGCATCGGGCCTTACGTTGCTTCTCGCAAAAAACACCATCGAATATCATCGTAGACGCTGAACCATGACTCCACGAAGTGCTCTCTCACATCCGGCATCATCTTTGAATTATGTTTACTGCTTCCATTCGACCGAGGGGAAGGAGGGCACAGTAGAAGCCCATATACTATGTGCTTGAAGTGCGCAAAGTGGAATTGCGGCTGTGCAGTCGAGGAAGACTTAGTGAGGGAGGTTGAGAGATGTTTCAAAAGTGAAAAGAGTATCTCCAGCGAGGATTTCTGGTACCGATGTAAGAATACAAAGCACAGCCAACGATATGACACGTACCCTCAGCGCAGGCTCTTCGTCTTGCAGTAAGCCAACGAGTAGTTCGACGTACGAATCCAACTTCTCCCATATCCACTTGCGGACAAGCTTGGCAGTAGCATCACCTCCGTGTACTAGCATCCCACGAGTTATTATCAAGACAAATATGCGATAAACGCTATAGACAGCTTTGGACATTTCCCTCGCGTCTGATGAGCCATATGCCAGTATGAGCAGGTCCGCCAGTGGGTTAAGAGAGCCATTTTCTGTGACGGCAGATGTTAGCTGAGTCTCCAGAGACTTGACTGAAGTGGATTCGACAGCTGTCTTGCGTCTTTTGGTTGGGGGAGGGAGTGAGCGGACCGGCATGGTAGGGATATGCAAAGTTGAGCAGATCAATACTGATCATTTTTAGATTAATTTTATTTGCTTATTGAATCAATATTTATGTAATTATTATATGTACTTTGATATAAATATTTGTAAATACAATGAGGCTCTTTGTGCCGATCAATTACACTATCATCACGGGCCTGTTGATTCCGTTGTTCGCAGATGCATACTGGGCAATATATGATTGGCGTATCGACAGCGCTGTGGACCTATCGGACCAACACAGCCAGCTAAGAAACAACGACCGTGAGAAAGTATGAATATATCTACTTTGATAACGTCCTCACTTACCGTGACGTTCCGTTGCCCCGATGTTATCTGTCACTTTCAAAGCTTCCACACGGTTGCGCTTTGCGTCGACCGCAGGTCATAGCTTGCGGTCTGCAGTGGGCCTGCGTCAATTCCATGGATCCCTGAAGTCCCAAGAGCACTACTTGAATGCTGATGAAAAGGCAAGCACCTTTTCCTGTCCGTATCATAGCACCAGCTTGGTCAAACATAACCACAAGCGCTACATGCATATATTTTCTAGACTTTTGAAAAAGTCGCTTTGAACCCTGCGAATGAAAAGGCCGTCCTGGTTGACTTTTATGCAGAGTGCGTAACTTCGGGTGTAATAAGCGTTTAGACATATGCTGACAAGCCGTATATTATAGTTGGTGCAACCCTTGCAAGATGATTTCGCCCCTACTTAAAAAATTGACCAGTGACGAGACAGTCAAAACTGGTAGCGGCCGTTCGCTTGACTTGGTCACGGTGGACACAGACTCAGAGTTCGACTTGGCAAAAAAATACAAGGTGTGCAAACTTCGACTTGACCTAGGGCAGTTCTCATTCCTGCCATTAACATCAGGTGCGGGCGCTGCCCACAGTCATAGCATTCAAAGATGGCCAGAAGGTTGACCAGTTTGTTGGAGCCCTGAATGAAGATGGCATTCGCCAATTCATAGCCAAGTTGTAGGAGACATGTAGCGTCCTTACATGATGAATATGATTGTATATATTCGAAACCCCTCTGGTTCCAAAAAAATGTATCAAAACATCGAAAGCGGTGTAGTGTTCGTTACAACGAGTTAATGAAAGGTTCAATATAGGTACACGTAGGAGGTGAAAACGAACTACCGGGGTCAATAAAGCAGTGGGGTCCACATCGTAATGCAGCGGTATAAACGAGAACTGTGTTGGGCGCTAACATATAGACGGGTAAGTGGGCGAACGAACATTCGCAGAACCGTCCAGGCTATTGTATCGAACAACAACCGCCTCCAGTCTTTTGTTGGCCGTATACGTCGTCTGCCTTAGTGACTGGACCCCACACGGACGGAACCTAGGTGAATGTTATTCGTCATATGTTTCGACACAAAGCTTGCACAATAAAGGGAACATACGAGGTGGTCTTTCGTCGTCTTGCAGTAGCGGATTAAACTATGAACAAGTCAGCCTGGTTTTTAATAAGACCAACAAATAGAACTCACCTAGCGGCTGCTTCACTGACCCGGATTCTTGGCCTTGCCAAGTCTTCTCGAAGGCGCTGGTTGTGCTCCAGCAGCCGACGATACCGTAGCTCCGACATTGATTGCCTTCCGCCTCGAGAGCTCATGCTTATGGTATTCGTGTGTGGTGAAAGTCCCTGATTGGCAAAAACTGCGAGATATGAGTGTGGTCAATTATTGAGTACGAAAGTACCCACCAGCTCTGTATCAACTGCCGTATGATGTACTTGTCGCGTGTCGTATCACAAAGTCAAGAGAGTAGGATACCACAGAATTAAACGGTAGTACTTTGTGGTGATCGCGGTGGGGAGACAAGTCTGCAACGGTACAATTACCCGGTTTGACTGCTTTGAAATGATAATATCCAAATTTGGACAATTGTATTTTGTTCATAAAATTCTTTTCTACGTTTCCCTCCTAACGTGCCTTCAAGCTTCAGTACTTCAGTGCTAGTCTTCAGGCTTCTGGCAAGGCTGCATGGGGACAACAAAGTTGAAGAGCGAGTCGGCGACCGGGCAGAACGACGAACAAGCATATCCCGGAAAAGTACATCCAATTTACTATTGAGCTCCTCGACTGAAAGCTCAGGTAATGCGCCAGAGCTTCTTAGTGTAATTCAGTCACAATCTGAATCCATGCATTAATTATGACCAGGAACGGTAGGAGAACAGCCTAAAGGATTGGCATTTAAATAACAACGTAAGTCATACAAACAATACGAGAACTCCGGTGATGAATCCCTGGCAAGAACACGCTGTATGAAGGGTAGAATCAGTAAAGTAACTCGACGGAAGTCCGGGCAAGGTACATGATGTGCAATAGAAGGCAAATTGTGCTCAGTATCTGTCCAGGATGCCTCGTAGAAGTTTCTCCCTGGCTTTTGCATGATCTCCGGCTGCGACAGACTTGGTTGTCTGATCAAGTCTACATATAAGTTCCTCGACGTCCCCGAGCGCCGATTTAGAGTGACCTTGGACTCGTTGGACTGAGTGGAATGACCATTCTGTGATCAGGCTCATAATCCAAGAAGTCTGAGATAAAATACCATATTCATTGACGGCCTTTTCATAACTATGGAGGAGCTTGTCCCTCTCGGCGCATACATCTTGCAGCTGAAGAGATAAGTTTTGAAGCGTGTCCTAAAAAGTTATTGCTGCATTGAACGAGGAGATGAAGGCAGCTTTCACAAACTAACTTCCGCCCTGGTGAACGCCCGAACCACTTGATCGTGTTCATGCCTTGCAAAGTCTTCGGCTCTCGAGCTCTTGTCAAATAGGGCAGCTCCACGGAGTAAAGTCGGATTGTTGTCATGCGAAAGGAATTTGTGAGCCTCTCCTACTCGAGTGACCACCGGAACGAGAGTCTCCCTGTACTGTTCTGTTGCTTCTCTGCGACGAGCCAGGAATGCTGGCGAGAGTCGATCGATGATAGCTGCGCCATCAGCAGATTCAGAAGCCTCCTCTCTGAGATGATGATGAGCGACGAAGTAATCCCTGAAGGTTGTGAAGGTATTGAATACCCGTCGTCTAAGAGAGCAATTAGAGTCGCATGCTCGTCCCAGTCAGAGTCCGCGGAACCCTCTTCGTCTTCATTATCTTGGTGCCCCTGGATGGCGTCCTCCACATCGGTAAATTCGTCTTCTTCGCGATATTCAGTGTAGCCCGGAGGTTCTTCTGATCTAGTAGGAGACTGGTAATAAGGTTCACAGATGCATTTATGCCGATTCTGAGTCCTCTGGGAGGGTGAAACGAGTCTGTTACGGGCCATTACGCGTGATTTGTCTGTTTTAATCACTGCAGTACTGCTGTCAGTAACGTCCCTGAAGGCTGAACGCGTAGATGGCATCTGACATGACTTGAGGGCTTTCGACACTGTGGACCGCGTTCGGGTGTTCGACATCGACTTCCTATCGCTTGGTGATAAAAGGCGCACCATGATGAGTGTTACACTTCGAAACTGTAAGAGAGTTTGCAAGACCAATGCAAGATCTCCTGTGAATTAGAACTCCGACACGGTATGTCCCACTGTTGATCGTTGTTCGTTTCTCTCCCGTACATCTTGGCGCGGTGGGCAGGTCCGTTGTTTTTTTTGCACTTCAAGTCTGCCAATTTCTTTGCTTATAAGCTGTCTGTCGTCGCAGGCGCATACTAGGTTCCCTTCTCTCAGATCTCCTGAGCTTCGCCAACCTCTTTGTTCTCGTTTCCGCACTATTTCACCATGAACGCTCGTCCACATAAGCAGTCTATGTCGGAGCTAAAGCTTCGCAGGCTCACAGAACACAACCAACGACTGCGAGAGGATCTCGCGCGACCGCGAATGAGAGTGAGCGAAGCCAGCGCAAGGTACTGTGCTATTTTCTTCCCACCATGGTCAGGCACATAAGATCTTACCCTCGGTCTCCATCTTACAGTTTAATTCGTTACTGCAAGACCACAAAAGACCACCTGGTGCGTTTGTACTACCGGTGCTCTCAGCGCCTTCACTTGCTCCATAACTTCATTTTGTGTGCCTATGTACTTTATGCTCATACGTCATATTTTCAGGTACCTTCTGTGTGGGGACCCGTTGGAAGGGGTGAGGACCCGTACGCACCGCCGCAAACAGGCTGCACCTGTATCGTGATGTGATATGTTATTCCTTATACCCCATACCGTGACATACCCCCTTTCATTTTCTGTCTACGGAAAGAACGGAGGAAACTCCAAACACTCTTTCCTGCGCGACACCTCCACGCATCCTACGCACATCAAACCGCCCACGCTCGTTACACGTATCCTACATATCCTCGTCATCGTGACTTTCCAAAACCTGACGGACGATTCATGGCTTGCACATCCTTACACTCCAGTCGTATACATATTGCTTAGAACTGCAAATCCTTTGCCGCTTCGAGTCGTTCCAGGGTCTCTTTTATCCATTTCGAGCATGACATTCTTTACATGGTTCATTCTCTCACTTTTTTGCATAGCTCGGTGTTTTATTTGTTTTTATCAGTCTTTGTCTCGGCTGGAGGTGCATCTATGTGATATATATTTGTTGGGAAGAGACCTTTGACAATGAAGCCATTTACTATCATATTATTCTGAGCCAAGATCTAGTAAACAATTTGAAACAGCTTTCGATCAACCTGAGCTCTTTGCGCTTATTACCTGGAGTCTTGTTCTGTCAAAACGGTTATTGTTCTTATATTGCAGTCTCTGTTTCGTTATAAACAACAGATGATTAATATCTCTTCATGAACTTTTACTACGTCTACTTGCGCCAGCACCCATCTCTGAAAACGTATTCCGTTGTTCCATCATAGTAGTTTTGGGAAATATACTGCTAAATCCACGGGTCAGCCAGCTCACAGGCCAACGAGTTCGATCGCCTCTACAGTTGGTTCACACCTTCAGTTACGTACACTCCTCTGTCCCATGATCCAAGACGTGCGCCTGCAAATTCGCGAGTTTGCTGCGCCAGTTGCGCAAAAACTGGGCATCGGCAAGATATCCGACTTTGCCGATGTAATCTTGCTCTCCTTCGTGTTCTTTACTACTGTGCACAATAGTCTCTCGCCCGCCGTAAGCAGTGCGCTTTTTCCTGTTTCATATGGGAAAGCAGGAAAGAGAGCGAGGAACAACTGGTGAGGCTGACTACACTACACTTATTGGGCGGGTAAGAATTCACAACTACAGGGATATACGTGTGGCATCGCTCGTCCATGCTATCTTAATTGTATTTCTTGCCGGGCGCTGTCTCAATCTTCCGAGCCTTGACCAAAATCGTGCCTTTGGCTGGCATGAAGATGCAGGGTTTCTAATAGCTATTGCAACAGGGTGAGTTGACACTTATCGAACGCCAACACAGTTTTCTGACTTCACTCTAGTTACTTTATATGGGACACATTGGAATCGATCATCCATTTCAGTGACATTGGATTCGTTTTCCATGGTATGTGTCTGATGTGTTTCTTCACAAATTTGCTCCCAACCCCAGCCTCAGGCATTTCGTGCCTTCTGATATACAGCCTTTCATTTGTGAGCGATGCGATTATATTGGAGCTTCAAGAATCTAACGTGCCCATTTAGACGCCCTTTGTTCCTTACTATGCAGTACGTTTCTTGTTTTGGGAGCTGTAAGTGATATATCATAGCAGACGCCCAGTTCTTTGTTCATACTGTTCACAGGAGCACTGTATTCTTGAACATTCATTGGTAGGTCGTGATTATATATGTTCATGATGATGTAAACGAGCTTCGCTGGCAGGTTCTTGGATAAGACAGGAAAAACAGGCAGTGCCCTTCAGTTTGTCAATGGTATTGTCCTCATTATGACCTTCTTTTGTGTACGCTGCATCTGGGGCGCAATGATGGTTGGTGCCTGTTTGAACCTGGCTTCCTTTACACTAATGCTTTGAATGCAGTCGTATGACTTTTTCATGACTTTGGATAGCGTATACGACCAAATTTTGACACCATACCTCATCATTTATGGAGGCGGTAATGTCTTGCTCCAAGGGCTCAACTGGTACTGGTGAGACTTACGTTGTCATTGTCTTGAATGATTGATTTATGTTCATACCCCTCAGGTTCACCAAGATGATAGCTGCGCTTGTGAAAAGGTTTCAAGGAAAACCCAATGGTCACAAGGTCATCAACGGAAAAACTAAGACATAACCATCTTTTATAGATCGTGTCGTTCTGCAGGTTGAATGCCAGTAGTAACAGATACTATATGCTTAAATACATGATCATGCACAAGATATCATACCACTAGGCCACGGTGAATGCTGCCTCTACTTGTGTCCGTACTCTCCGCTCCCAGGCAACAAGGTTGACGCGTCGAGTGACCTCAATTCTTGTGCTGTCCATGCTATACAAAAGACAGTGTAGGTACGCGAATGCAAGTGCATCCAATGCAGTGGGATTTCTATGTTGTGTCAGTGAATATACCAGGTGGCTTCGCGAGTACAATAGTGACTTACTCTGAGCCAAGGAACCAGTGGTCAGTTCCAAGCCGTTCCGAGAGTGAAGCGATGGCCTCTGCGTACTGTCCTTGGATGGATGAAAGTGTGATGTTTGTTCCATACGGTGGCAGTACTGAACTCAAACCAGTCAGAGGGGCAGGTGGTGGGCTGAGAGTGGTTGCCAAGGCCCTTCCTCCAGCGATAGCTGTCAGGAAGAGTTGAGATAATGCGGGTCGTGGAGGTTCTGATAGAGTCTGGTAAGAACAGTCAGAATGTGGTCTACACACGAGACAGAGCGCACACACCAAGGCAGCATGTACTACTCCCTCGAGCAAGGAGACCCATGCATGACTCTCGTCTTTGAGTATTTCATCACTGTAACCATTGAGAGGATCGCTCCCGCCGCCAACTTGTCCATTCACCCAACCAGGGATAGAGCGTGGTGCTAACAGCTCACTGCTGACATCCCCAAACACAGGAGTGTGTAGACAGGGCAACCGACCATCGATCCCACCTTCTGGAGAGATGTCCCACCGTACAGCGATGTTAGTGAGCCCACGCAAAGCGATATATGCCTGCCATTTCAGACACTCGACGTCTGTGCTCAGGATATCGGAGTTAAAGGCTTGGTCGACTGCCGTGGTCCGAGGAGGTGCAATCCATAGCGTAGGCTTTTGCGAAGGGCATCTTGAGATGACTTGAATCGGTGAGTAAGTGTGCAAGGGGAACTTGCTGAGGAACCTCTGGAGCGGTTCAGGAAGACTGAGAACTGATGCCATGCTAGGAAAACACTAGTGCTACGATTTATTCGTTACAGAGCGTTGAAGCACGTTTGTAATATACCGTACCTAATATAGGGACATCTACCACTGAAAAATTCTTTTATGGTATATATATCTTACAAATTTCAAGGCACCGGGCAAGTAAGTTAGTAACTTATGAGATTTCTTGAACTTGCTTACCGACGTTCGCGTCGACGATATTTGCTGGCAAACAACTGGCAACCTTATTGGACGCAACGTACTGGCTTCACTCTTCTATCTTTGTTTTTGAGCCCCGTCCTCAGTCTGGGCTTCCGAATACCGAACTTGCACACAAGCAAGGGTAGAACATGTCTGATTATGCGTCAAGTCCCTCTAGGCCAGCCACGCCAGTACCCGCTTTACCAGAAATACCAATTGCACGTCCATTCCGCTTAAACTGGGATACGTCTTCTCGTGTTCGAGGTCCAGCGAGCGTTTCAGAGACTACTGAGGGTCGTGGAGGTGACTATTACGCAGCACCTTTCCGCCTTGAATTGCCCAATCTATCAACCGTCAATATTGCCCCCGGTGCTTTACCCCAGGAATGGAGTAGCTCAACGCAGGGATTCAATGGTAGGCCACGCTACCGTCGTGTGATACGTGGTGCTCATTGTTTCCAGCGATTTCAACGGTCCTCAATAACCCTCATAGACACCAAGCACCTCCAAAAGCCCATTCCTCTCTCCCAGCTGTGCCCCCAGCCGACTTACCGCGCGTGAAACGCAAGGATTTCGATCCATATCTTCGAGCTATTGCGCCCGAATGGGAGAGGTTCGAGCGAAACATGCAGCTTAGTCGGGATGGTCAAGAGAAGCCGGACGCATCATTTAGTCATCGTGGTTCAACAGACACTCCGCCTATGCCATTCACGCCTCGTGCAGGAAAGCTATTAACACCACTTAACTCCGTCCCTCAGGTGTTCTTCGATGCTCAATTTAACCTTGGTGACCCACAGATATTCAATGCCGTCATAGAACACCAGGAAGAAGATAATGATTCCTCCGACCCTTCGTCGCTCTCATATTCGCTCCCTCTTCTTGAGAAGCTCTCCCATCATGCAGATACTATTGAACAGCATCTTGTTCGAGAAATTTCTCTTCGGTCCACATCATTCTTTGCGGCATTAACCAACTTGCAAGACCTGCAGACCGAATCGGAAGAATGCCTTGATCGCATATCGAAGCTCCGCGGACTGCTCAAGGAGGTCGATGAAAAAGGTGCCAAACGAGGACTAGAAATTGTGAGGACAGAATGCAAACTGCTCAATCTCGAATCTATCTGTAGTGGTGTCAAAGAGATCGGGGGCGTGGTGGAGATGACTGGTGTTGCAAAAGGATTAGTTGCAGCAGGACAGTGGGGCGAGGCCTTGACAGTTATTGAAGGCGTAGACGCACTCTGGGATCCAGTAGCTGCTGAAGCACCACCTGTAATTTCTGCCAGGGAAGCTCGCGCAGAACTTGTCCGCGTCCCTACCAACGGACGATTGTCCCCTCTTCCACCTATGCCGGAATCGCCTCCCCCGGAAAATGAAGGGACTAGGAAGACTCCATCAATACCACTGTCCTCCTTAACCGCATTCTCTTCTCTTCCTGCGCACGTTCGTGCATTGACGATGGAGATAGCATCCTCGCTTACCACGGAACTCGTCAGTGTGCTAAAGCTTGACTTACTAGAACGAGTGAATGGAGTACCTGAGCGGAACGGTAACGTGAATCTCTCCTTTAAGGATAGGTTACGGCCCGTCCTTCAAGGCCTTTTGCGTACCAAAGGAATTCGTGAAGCCACAGTTTCATGGAGAGAAGTTGTGACAAGTGAAATGCAAGGTATCATGAAGCATGTATGTGCTGGGCACTTCAATGGTGCATGATCATTGATGGTTCTCTAGCACCTGCCGTCTTTCAATATGGGTGATGAAGAGTCCAAAGGTCCTAAGGCTGCTTCAAGGTAAGCGGGGCGTTGACTCTCTTGGTACTACTATCAACCGTGCTATGCTCATTACAGTGGACTTGCAAATCTTCTTCGCTCCAAAGAGCATGCGGAGTTCCTATTGCTTCTCTCACAGCTGTATACGAGTCTTCTGAATGGTATCAAGGGTATTCAGGCCCAAAATGGCATACTAATAGAAGTGTTAGAAAGTTTGCTGTATGACCTTTTGTTTCTCCTTCTCCGTCTTATCGCTCACTGTGCTTCCATACCTTTTGGTTCACATCCAGAGCGCCGAAACCATCAATAGATATCGTCTCACTTCAAGAAGAACTCTTGGATATTCTATCTTCTACTGCGGACCTCTCGAACAAGCTAGCAGCAATAGTTATTGGATATCGTTCCGAACAGCATGCGCAACTTGATCTACCTGGCTTCCTTACCTTTTTCAACGCTTCGTGGGGCTTCGTGGTGCAATGCGAAGTGATATGCCGGCGGATGATCATGGGGCTGAGGGGAGTGGTCCTTGGTCAGGTACGTCCCTTTATCTAAGTCAATCAGAAGCGATCATAATACGTTACTCCTAGGCGAAGCACTTCCTACAAGCGTTCCATCAGGCCCGAATTAGCCAATCTGCGAAACTTGTCGAAGACGAGCTTTGGAATCCGATGTCGGAAGTGCCTGCAGCACTGCAGCACATGGCAGATGTCTTGGTAGATTCCGCAGTCCGGGACTCCCCTGAGCTTATCGTAGGAGAGACAGATAGCTCGCCTTCGGCCCCAAATCCGTTACCACCCCAATCTGCTTTGAGCAATCCGAATGGATCCGTGTCGTCATCCAAGTACCTTCGGATCGAAGAACGACCATACTTTTGTGTTTCTGCCACAGGTGCCGTTCTCGGCCTGTTATTCGATTACCTTAAGCTTGTCGTCAATCTACCTATGCTTAACATCGACACGATGGGTCGAGTGATAGAATTTTTGAAGGCGTTTAACTCTAGGACCTGTCAAGTTGTTCTTGGCGCTGGAGCCATGCGGTCAGCTGGCCTGAAAAACATCACAGCAAAACATCTTGGTAGGTACTGTTCATCCCCCTTGACACTTAGGAACCACTGACGTCACCCTTTCAGCGCTGGCGTCACAGTCCTTGTCCATAATGGTCGCACTCATTCCGTACGTACGAGAAACCTTCCGTCGTCACCTGAGTCCAACCCAGGCAGTAATGCTAATCGAATTTGATAAACTCAAGAGGGTGCGTCCGGAACCGCCGGTACCACTTCATCGCCGAATCTCACTCGTGTCCTAAATGTAGGACTTCCAAGAGCATCAGAGTGAAATTCATTCCAAATTGATTTCTATTATGGGCGATCGCACTAGTGCACATGTCAAATCTTTACAGGCAAGTTTTACGCCCTCTGCCGTAATCTCTCTCGAGTCTGCTTTGAAAGCTAAACCGAGTGCAAATAGAACGTTGATTGGGATCGGCCCAAGCAGGGAGATAGTGTCAATGATTACATGGAACTTCTCGTCAAGGAGACTGTCACGCTTCACAAAGTGCTCTCGAGGTACCTGACTGCACCAGTGGTGGAGGTTTGTGATACTTATGTTATACGTACCAACCAAAATCGCTTACATTCGTGACTTGCTGGACAGTATGTGATGTCTCAGGTGTTCGCTGCGATTAATCACCGCCTATCCGAAGAATACAGCAAGATAGACTTGCAAAGTCAAGAAGCGAAAGACAGGTGACTCGAATAGTTGTTCTATCTTTACGCCTTGTGACGATTTTGACAGGATGCTCGCTGATGCGCACTACCTTCACGAGAAGTTTTCCGTTCTAAAAAACGTTGGTGCACCTACAAACGTGCTCAAGAATGTGGTTGCGGAAAAGGCTTTACCTCGGAAGTCGGCGTTCAGCAATATCCGAGCCACAGCAAGTCCCAACGAGCGTATCAAGGGGCTGCTTTCGCGGAAAAATAGTGTCAAGCCGGACAAGCCACTACCCGCAGTCAATTCTTCTCCGACACCTAGCCCGCCGCCACCACCTCCTCAAGAGACACCTACCCATGCTGCGACCGTGGAAGGAGATAGAAGTGGCAGCCCAACCCCTGATATTGTGGTGCCACCTTCACGGGGCAGTTCTCGCGCCCGCGGGATAATAGACTTTAAACAAATGGAATCTTCTTCCAGAGATGTAGATGCGGCAGAGAAGGATGAACTCCCGCCCATTCCCGATGACGCCAATCACTCACTGCTTTCAGAAGCCGACATCTCTAACGGTGTTGCTTCTGAGATGGAAAACAATTCCGCATCGGCAGCATCCTATAGGAAGGAGGAGCGTGAGATCAGTGATAACCACGACGAAGTTCCACCTGCGGTTCCTATATTACCTTACAATGGCGATAGTTGATAATTTTGGTTGGCGATTGCAATTTGGATAGCAATTATGGATTCTTGCAAGATTCCTATTTGAAAACTCAGAATGCCGGAATATTCTAGTGTTCCTCTTGGTGGCGTATTCACCACAAATATGCATCAGTGACAAGTCCTCCATTCCCCGATCCCATTGTTTTGGTCGGATCAACCAGGATGAACCCCCGTGCTTGTCCAGCTGTTCAGATAGAGAGTATTTCTGTATTTATATAACAAAGAAAGGAAACTGACCCCCAGGCCCCCCACTGAAACCTTGTTTCTCTTTGTTCCCTTACGTTGACACGGCACCCGTTAAATGCACTTCGGATCTAAATGTGGGGAAACGAAAATCGAGGAAGAGATTTAGAGGAGTATTAATATACGCAGACTGAGTTTGATCACACGATGTGCTGCAAGTCGTTAAACTAACTCTGTTACAGCCTCTGACAGGTATGGTGATGCTGTGGGTGGAGCACATCAAGTATCACGTCCGTGTGAGGTTATGACGCGAGCGTATCCAATATTATATTGACCGGCGGTGGCCAAATGGTTCCAGACTGATGTGGAAACGAGGGTGAATCTTCTAGCCTTTCCGGCAGTAAGCGTCGACTGATCTGGTCCTCACCTTAAAGGTCGTGACTG